GTAAGCTGTCACAAACGACAGAACAACAACATATCTGTAATGATGCCTGATTATTTACTATGAAAATTAAGCCATAGACTTGAGGGGTTTTGGTGAATAAGTTGTGTTCATAATTTTTTCTTTTACAAATCTGTAAGCAGATCACACAGTTCTGAAAATACTTAAATGGTGGTGCAAATCAAAATCTCAGTGGATTCTTACAAATTAGAGGTGTTTGCTGCACTTTTTGAATTAGAAAGCCAAACATTTGTTTTGAGTCAGAAAATCCATAATGGCCTTTTTAAGATTAAGAGCACTCACAGTTCTGAAAGTTCTTGCACGTCTTCAACTCTGAATGAGTTTCATCACTGGCTTTAGCAGTTATGCTTAAAATTAAGCATGTTTCCTATCTATGATCTGGTACTTCTGAAATACAAAGCTAGCAACTGATTTCCGTCAGACCAGACCAGTCCATAGTCAAATCATTTGTATGAAATAGCACTCCTCACGCAGCCACCTAATTCAAGTTGCCTGTCTATGCAAATTGGATTAAATATAAATGGCCAAATTATCTTTAATGCCATTATACATAAGTGAATTGACACCAGGGATGGACTGGGCTCCATATCTTTTAATCTTGTGGTTCTGTAGACTTGACAGTATTATTACAGTGAAAAAGTGACATCTAATTTCTTCATTTCTTACCTGCTTCTATATTCCCGGCTGACACTTAAGATCTTAGAACAGCAAGCCACTGCAGCGAAGATAGTTAAAACCCCAAAAGAGAAACTATCAAGGCTGCTCATAGCTCTGAACCCTCTTCTGTAGGAAGAACGCTAAAACATAGACAAACGTTCTGAGGAAGTCAGAGAGACAAGGCAGAGAAATTGGGACACGTTCCCTGGTTTTGGACTTATAGAAAGAAAGGGCCCCGTCTTTCTTGAATATTTGCCCTTAACTCCAGGAGGACCTAAAGTAGCTCAAAAACGTTGAAATCCTTTCAAAGGGAAATGTATTGAATTCAGACTTTTTTCTCTGTTATCCAAAAGCATATATCTAACTCCACCATTCAGGGTGTTATTTGTCCCCAGCACAGGAAGCACAGTATTCACTGACTGACAGACTACATAAAGAACTCGAGCACAAAATCCATGTATTAGAAGAGTCTGCACAAAGTCACATAGGATATTTACATAATAGCCTGCTTTCCCCTCTGTCTTAGATCAAGCCTCAAAGAAAAAGGAAACTTCTAAATTCTTTCAGAGGTGGTTATGGAAGTCTTGTTGATCATGTCTTCTGTTCTAGGTATACTAATATTGCCTGAAATTAACTAAGGCTGATCAGGCTTTCCTCAGAGGGAGTTAGATTCTGTCACTTAACATAGGAATCTCTTCATCATTAATAAGAAATACTAGGTATGGTCATACGATGTTCTGTTGAACTCCCCATTCCCAATTCAGCTGTACAGACTACCTAAGACTGAAACTTGCCACGCATTGATATAATAAATATTAACTGTCTTACTCTAAGGAAATTAATAACAATTCTCCTACTATCAGTCGCAGAGAGAACCAAGGTCTGAGTCTCCATTTTTATTAACATCCTTTTAAATCACCAGTAAGTTCAGGAAAAATAATACAGCCGCAGTGCACGGAAGGGAAGGGTTTGTTGTTCTCCGTTTTGGCCACTTAGTTATACCTGTTTGTTACCATTATGTACAATTGACACAAAGGTGTCAGTTCCTGTTCATCCCTTTGTGCCTGGCTTTCCACTCTGCTACGCCACTTTTCTTGCATATCAGAAATGCCTTGCTTTCATTCTAATGCAGAATAACTTATGTAGGAGAACAGGTACGGCTAAAAGAGCGGACTGAAATTCTTGCTTTAGAAGAAAGACTTTGCCTCCCAAGGGAATGGGACACAGTGAGTGTATGGACAGAAAATAAACTGTTTCTTTAATTTTTCTTTTCATACTCTGAAGAGTATTTTCAATTATTAAATAAAATTAAAAATGCATTTTTTTTTAAAGAAGATCCAGATAGTGATTGCTGAAGGTTCTACTACAATAGCTAGCTATTCTCAAGTATGCCTTTGTGGTGCCTATATTTCATTACATAATTATCTTGCTATACTAACTGGGTAAAATTTAAAGACAGTGGTATAAGGCAGAAACTTCTTCTATCTGTTTGCATATATCAAAGATTAGTTTAATTTGCCAGTTTCGTGTCAAGCAATATTTATCTCTAACAAAAGTTACTGCAAAAAATCAATACATTCTATGTACACAGCAAGGTTATCACCTGAATGCTATCAATATCAGTCTTTCATCATACTTCATTGCATGTTAATTTCTCTAAACTGTTTGCCAAACAGATTGATTTCAAGCTATTTAACAACACACAGCATATATCTTGCAATCAGAGCTGCAAATAAAGTGAAGTCTACAAAGGAGGGCAGTATATATACACAATTGTCCATTTACAGGCTGTTATACAATATATCCTTACATAGTTAAGCACTCACTGTTCACCTGTTTTAAAAGTTTCATTTCATTCATGGAACAGAAAATATACTATCAACCATGCACACCAGATTTAAAATTTTATAGCAAGATGGCTGTCAGGTGCAATAGCTTAATTTCCCCTCTAAGTCTGCAATCTGACCCCAGCTGCAGTGACTTGTTTCCACAGCCACAGCTCAGGCAGTGGGACAGACAATGCTAGCACTCCTGATTCCGTTCAGTGCAAAGTCTCCCGCTTTAAATTGTTGCTAGCAGTGGTTGCTAATTAAACCTGGTAACTTTGCTGTAATATATTAGTAAAAATGTAAGTTTAATAACCTCCAACAGACAGGTAGCACTACCGTAAATTGCCCCTGTAAGTTATGCAGTGAGAGTTTGGCCGTGGCCTAAGTACGAAAGCTCTTATTTCTTTTCAAAGGAAGAACAAGCGACTGTGAACAGAGGTCACTTCACCTCTGATGAGAGCATCTAGACAGGGTCTTAACAAGTTGTGTTTGTATTGCCTTCACTCATGAAGTTGGCCTGCTACAACTTTTCTGAGTTTTCCTATATAGGCACAATCCAGTTATGCTTTTAACTGGGGAAAAAAATTCCACAGGATTTCATGCCTACAACACCAACTGCTCCAATGATTTCTCTCACATGCAGATGTTCTCCTTGAAGATCAGCTCTTCCTAAAGTTTCAGTCTAACAAAAAGAATAGGTTTGATGTAGAAGGGCTGCCTGTACATTTATTCTGTTCCTACTTTCTATAGGTTAAACACTTAAGACAGGCTTGCTATTCCCTGGTAAAAACATGATCTTGGCTGGTAACATGAAAAATTACACTTCTAGGAATGACTCCCTAGTGATGCGCTGCAAACAAAGGCAATTTAATAGAGCACCTGGAAACATTTACAGTCAACCTAGTTTAGTAGCGATGGACTTGAACTAAACTGTACTTCTCCACTTCAGAGGACCCTAGAAAAATTCTGAGTCAAAGCATACTCCAGTGGATAGGGCTGGGAACAAGTCATGCATATAGTGCTTGGAGAATGCCTGGCAATTAGGGCCCCCATCTACTGCAAGCATAGGTAATAACCCATTGATATCAATGATTACTACTTGCAATCATTACAAGGGAAAGTTCTACCCTTGTCTTTCTGACCCAACAGAAATTCATCCTGAGTCTCTGGGTTTTGTTTATTTTCCTTCAACTGTATTCATGCTTCTGTTTGCTCACAGGTAAGCGAGGAACAATAACGTTCACCTACAATTCATGCTGTACAGTTAAAATAATCGAATCGCTTGGGAGTTCCTTAAATAAAGGAAGCTAGAGAGCTGTAAAACACTATCATTTACTACCCTGTACAAACAGTTACAGCTTGCCTCTTATTTTAATAGCTCAGCAGAGTCACAGACTTTGCTGCAAATGATAAATCAAAAATGAGCTGTAAAGACTCAGTTGTAAAACAGAAATCCTAAAATAAGCAACAAAAACAACAGCACGATGCTGCAGTGTAGACAGAAAAGTTGCTTCTCCATCACATGACCCATAGCATGCTTGCTTAGATCCCAGTAAATTTGTTTGGGAGCGCTAACCTATAAAGGAATGTTTCACAGGACTGAACCCTGCCTTACAAATAAACAAACAGAACTTGAAGGAGATGCAGACCTCTCAGTTCTCAAACAGATGAAAGATGCTGACAATCTAATTAAATTGCACTAGTTATGATGAGCTTGGAACTTTATGTAGAGGGTTTTTTTAATGCTAAAGAGAACATATAGAAAGGAAAACCTTGTGCCAAATTTATAATTTTTATTATCTATCTAGCTTAATAAAATAAGCTATCATGTCTTGGGAGATGGAGGTTTCTGACCACATTTCATTAAGCCCAATTTATCCATAATATTTCAAGGAGAAATGACATTAATTTTTTAAAGATGCTTACACAAGACAATGTTTTGCCTCAGGGACAAAAAAATAAACACAAAGTTAATAGCTGCTTAAGCAGACTACATTTAATATCATGACTTCCCTGGTAATGACTCTGGATACAATGATCATTAGGCATAAGGACCTACTGCTATCTCTCTATAGGCATCTTTTTTCTAGGCAAAATAACTGCTTAAGTTTTTTTTTTTTATTTTTTTTAACACTGCATTGTTTAGCCCTTCTCTGAATATAACGAGATCACCCACTGCTAATGGCATATTACTGTAAAATCATTACCATAGCACCCTACATGACACAGATCAAAAACCCGATGTAATAGCTGCTGAAAAAACATGTAGAAAGAATTTCCCCCCCAATTTCTCCCTTCAAATTACATTTGAAGCGTACGCCAGGAAACTACATCCAGATAAAGTCACAAAACCCAAGAAAAATAACGTGAGTATGCTAGTCACCATGATTAGGAAAAGCATAGCACATACGAGCTTAACATTTATGGAGTCCTTTGATAAGCATCATAGCAAAAGAAACAAGGAATTTAAGGAAAAAATAAAAGAGATGTACACACCTCACGGGAAAAAATACAGTAAAAACATTGAAAATTCCTCATGTATGCCCTGCAAGCATCATAGGTCAATCTGAGATGGGAGCAGACCTCAAAACACAAAAGCAGAGAGAAAAACGGGTTATAGGACACAGTAGACGTGGAAGGTAAAGATGACATAACAAAAGAGCCAATAGACAGACATGCAAAGTATGATCAAGTGCCGAACCAAGCAAATTATTTTACAGAAATAGCTAGAACAAATTTCTACAGGACCAATTTGGATTTTACAGACTAAAATAAAACACAGCAGTTGTTACCAGAAGAGAATTAGCGTCAATAAACTTCTCCACACTTGCCGTTACAGACAAGAGTTGATAGGAAATGCCTCTCAGTTCAAAGCATTATCAAAAATAAAATAATAAGCACACATCCAGCAAAATCTGCAAGTAGCCTGTGGTGCCCTGTCAGGACAAAACTGAGCAAGTAACCCCCAGAAAACAAGGGCTGCAGAAACTACTGCTGTATATTGTTGAAGAAGGAAACCAATTTTGAGAGCCTCTATTCACTCACCCTTTGAGGACATGAGCAAACCGAGGACTGAACCTTATTGCTAAGTTTTCAAGCACATACAGGACAGAGGAAGGCAAGTGAAAAAGCTGTTAAGTATTCTGATAACATTGTCACCAAGTCCAGGCATAAAACTGTATTGAGCCAGAACCCAAGACTTATGACACTAGAAGAATGTAATAAATAAAAGGAGAGTTTGTTGGGGGTTTTTTTAAACTTTTGTGCTTTAAACTTTCAGGATATATTAGTCACGCCTTATACCACTTTTTGCCAGCACTGAGTCTAGAAATTTGGCCTTCATTTTAAATCAAAGCTGAGATTCTCATTTATTCCTACAATTAGTTGTTCTGAGAACAACGCAATTGTCATAAATTGAGAAAAAATTGCAAGCAATGGCAACACAGTTATCTGGACGGCAGAGCTCACCATATCATAAAAGAGAATCTGTGCATCACTGTTTGTCCAAACAGCTCGCACAGAAGACAGGCGTATTGTCATCATTTCACAGGTAGAAAAGATCATGCAAGTCAAACGAAGAGGTCCTTTCCAGAGGTCTGAGCTCAAACGGCCTTAGTTCTAGCTCAGGGCTTCGCTCTCACAAGCATCCCACGCTATCCTCCCACCCAAGAGCATACGGAAGAAAAAGCACTTTGTAAGTGCTTTAGCCGGGGTTTCAAGAGCGGCGCCTGCCTTCGCGGCCGCAGGCTGTCTCCTCCCTCGGCCCGCTCCGCTCCGCTCGGCTCCGCACCGCGGGCCGGGCCCGGCCCAGCGGCCCGCAGGCACGCTGCTGCCAGCCTTCCCGAAAACAGCGAGCCGGGGAGAACCCTCGGACCTGGAAGCGCGCCCCAACGTGAAAACGGCCCAACTTCAGCAGCTTTGGCTTCGCCTGTTTAAAGTGCGCCTCTTTCTCTGCTGCAACAAATACCTGCCGCTGCTTTTCATGAAAACTTGACTTCTGGTGTAAACGCGCCAATTCCAGAAGCTGAGGTTTTACGGAAACAACCAAACGCCTGCGAACTGCAGAGGGCCTGCAAACCCGCTGGCGGTTGCCGTTACTTGGCCGTCACGACAAGTACCTCCTCGGACACCGCCTCCCGAGCTCCCGACCGTCCTCCGTCCTGCCGGCGGCCCCGGCCGCACCCCAGGCACACC